TGCACAACAACTCCCCAGACTCCCTAAAGGTCCCAAGAAATGGAACAGAGGGCTTCCCCGGCGCTCGACCCGCAGAGCGGGGTCGGCGGATTCACTGGTATTTGTGGATAAAATGGTGTTTCCTCAATCATGCTTCTCCTGAACGTATGCCGGTGGCTCTCGTGACCGGAGCGTTCCCTCCGACGCGCGCAACACGATCCTGCTGCATGCAGGGGGGTGAGGTGGGCACAGGCTGAAGAGCGCGACTAGGGCTGCAACCGATGTGTGTAATCTATTCGCTTCCCCCGAATACTAAACGACGTTGCCCCCTCCTCCCCCCAAAACATGACATATCCGGCTGGTCAGAAATTATTTACTATTAGGGGGGACATTTATTGAAAGACTTTGGTAGGGCTGCCTTTAAATTCCCTGGAAAATAAATAACGTCAATTTTTAATTAAGTAATGAGTAATGAAATGAAAAAATGATGAGTAATTAAATGAAAAAATGAATTAGTTAATCAGTATTCAGAATTATTGAATGAATTAAAGAGTTATCAGCGAATCAATTAATTAAATCGATTGAAATCAAATTAAAATTCCGTTAGAATCAAGTGAAACTTAATGAAACTTCCTTCTAAAATCCATTGAAATCGAATTAAGATCACGTGAAAATCAATTGAGATTCAATTAAAATACGGTTGAAATCAATTGAAATTTAAGAAACACTCCTTGTACAATCAATTGAAATCGAATTAAAATCCCGTTAGAATCAATTGAAATGTAAGTAAAATCCCGTCAGCATCAATTGAATGTTAATTGAAATTTCTTTTGAAATTAATTGAAATCGAATTGAAATCCCGTTAAAATCAGTTTAAAGGTAACTACAATTCCTTTTAGAATCAATTGAAATCGAATTAAAATCCTGTTAGAATCAATTGAAGTGTAAGCTAAATACATTTAAAATCAGTTGAAATCGAATTAAAATCCCGTTAGAATCAATTGAAATTTACTGAAAATCACGGTAAATTCAATTGAAATTTAAGTAGAATTCCGTTTAAAATCAATTGAAATTGAATTAAAATGCTGTTACAATCAATTGAAATGTAATTGAAATTCCTTTTAAAGTTAAACGAAATCGATTAAAATCGTTTAAAATCAATTGAAATCGAATGAAACTCAATTGAGATTTAGTTAAATACCGTTAAAATTGTAATGAAATCAGCAAAATCACATTCAGCTCTTGTATCTAAAATCCTGTATAAAACCATATGAAAATCAACCAAAACCTAGGATGTCAAGGGATCCCTTCTTCCTTTGGATTTTCTGTTATGCACCCCTAATGACCTCAAAAACCATCCCTAATTCATCATGGTCTGGCTCCTTTTAAAAGTAGTACAGCCCTTTAAAATGCTCATGAGGAATTGTTAGGACCCTGGATTTATTACTTATTATTGGGGGGTGGTTTTACTAATGGCGGGAAGTGATTACCATGCTTCCAACATGTTCCAACTCTTCTCAGCTCTTATGGCTCTGACCCGGGAGACATGAGGGGGTGCATTGGCCCGGCCGAGGAGTCAACAACTCGGACTAGTGACCAGGGAGCAGCGTGATTGCCAAAACGCAAGTCCCGCACCGTCATTGTGTTATTGTGCATGCCTTCGAAAAAACATGTCCGCACGACGGGATAAAAACTCGGACCACCCGCGAGTGGCTGCGCAAAGCTCAAATAGCTATCTCTGGCTCGTGAGCGTTTCGTGAGCGTTTGACCATCAGGCCAAGGTGGCTCACACCCCCGAGCCACGGGACAGATTCGACCTGCAAGCAGAACTTGATCTCTGAAGGGCGTGGCGTAGAGGAAGTACGCTTGCTCGATCATGTTTCTGCACCAAACATATGCCGTTAGCTCTTAAGACCGGCACGACCCTCCGGCGGTGTGGTGGGCACAGGCTGAAGAGCGCGACTAGGGCTGCAGCCGATGCGTGTAATCTACCATGCTTCCATATCCACAGTTTGTTTTCGGCTTGCGGATCTACGCGAGGCTACACCCCATCCCCTACATGGATCCGCCAATCCAAAGCCAAATGGCATACCACGAGGGTAACCATAAGGACAACATGCATATAGGTTCCTAGAGGAGGTTTGGCCCTGGCAATTGAGAAGGTCCTGCCACAACCAAGGCACGCGAAGCTGTGCCCTTGGATCCAACAAGTCAGCATGAAACAGTATGTACGTGCAACGGTGCTTTTTTTAAGTTCAGATTTTGACCGGTTTTCTGTGTATCAGACATGCGCGGAATGACCGCCAAGAGGCACGTGCTGACTGCCCTGTTCGTACGTGCTTCCAGACCCTGTTGATGCAGCGGGGAAATAGCGCTGCACCTGCAATGCTGTAATGCCATCCGCGACATGACGCGAGTGCAATCCTTGGCAAGAGTCAAGAGCGTCATAAAGCGCCTATGGTACGCTGGCTCAAGTGTGCGCTGCTTTGTGTTAGTCCTGGATTTGTGCCTTCCTGTGTGCTAGCAATGCCAACCTACAAGCTCACCTACTTTGACATCCGCGGCCTTGCCGAAAACGCCCGCATCTTTTTTGCAGTGGCGCAACAGCCTTACGAAGATGTCCGCCTCTCCCTGACGTTTGGCACGCCGGGTGACTTCAGCACCATCAAGCGGCCCGAGTTCGATGAGATGAAGGCGAAGGGTGAGCTAGACATCTCCCTCGGCAAGGTTCCACTGCTGGAAGTGGATGGTGCCCTGACATGAACTGACTTGTCTAACTTTCTCCGTGACTGGTGCGCTACAAGGTGTGAAGATTGGTCAGTCCAAAGCCATCGAGCGCTTCCTCGCCCGGTCGCTGGGCTTGGCGGGCTCCAGCCCAGTCGAGGAAGCTCAGGTGTGGCAGTGTGAGCTTGGTTTAAGATGTGAGCCTGTATGTGATCGTACAGTACTGTAAGCTCTGCCAGACAACATGCACCACTTGTACCAAGTTCAGCGTATGATGTTTGTTCTGTTAGTGGCCAGTCATGCAAAGCTTGGAATACTAGCAGTGTTTCTTCCTCTGCAAGGTTGCAAACAGATTTTACGAGAAATACGTAGCGTGAGACGACGCCGTCTTGCGAACTTCCCCTGCATTCGACCACGGTGTTGCTGCACCAATCGTGACGCAGGTGGATCAGCTTGGCGAGACGGTTCGTGACATCAAGGATGCATACCAGAAGGCACAGATGTTTGGCAGGGTTTGTTCCACTTCAGTAGAGTTGCAGATCGTCTTGTTGAGGTTCGCGGAGTCCAGGATGAGGCCGAGAAGAAGAAGGCCAGCAAGCTCTGAGTCCGGGTTCTGAGCACCTAACTGTCACCTGTTCAGGGCATGGACAAGTGGTTTGCAGAAGATCTTCCCAAATGGGTGCAGCTTACAGAGAAGTCGCTCCCTACGGGAAGTGGACCGTGGCTCAGCAAATGCAAGCCCCCCCCGTCACCCCTTACAGCTGTGCTTCGCCGCTTTCCTGTGTCACCACATTTAAAGAAGATGCGACGCAGGGCATTTCAGAGGCGTGCAGCCCGATACTGCTGTAACCTATTCTAGGTTCATGGTGGGCGGCAAAGTGTCGGCTGCTGACTTGCTCTTCTACACGCTCCTTCTGGCCCCAGGAGGCACTGACGGATAATGTGTCTTGATGCAACTACAACTGCTAGCACATGTAGGTTTCTTCGACAACACAGAGGGTGCCAAAGCAGCTTTCCAGGAGCGTTTCTTGAGCATGCCTGACCCGTGATTTGCTTTGCCAAAGTCTTGAGCCTTCGGTGCGCGGAAGGACTGCCCGAAGGTCAAGGCTGCGTTGGAGGCTGTTGATGCTCTCCCGCAGCTCCAGGAGAAGCTTGGAAGCATTTAGCACCGTTTAAGCTTACACACATTCTGCCAAGGTTTCTGCATTTTGTCCTTGTGCAACTACCCTTGTCTTGTGCGGCTAGTGGAAATGTCACCTTCTGCGTCTTTGAGCCCGCCATCAGGTACCTAAAAGCGCGCAAGGAGACTCCATTCTGAGACGCCTGCTACGGGCTTCATAGTATCTTTCACCGATAGTTGTCCATCAGATCTTGCATGTGGACAGGGGGAATGATAGAGCGGCAGGAGCCCTTAGTGCCTGCACCATCGCCCCTTGCGTGTCCGCAGAATGAATTGCAGAAAATGTGCATGCGGCTGATGATCCCATACTGTTGTCAGAACAGCTGAAGCCAAGTGCACCGGAACAGCTACTTGAAGTGACTTGCAGAGTTGACATCCCGAGCAGGCGTCATGTGTCGACGTAGGGGCTGCTTCAATTTTCTGTGGGTATTACAGCTGATCCACGGCATAAGCTGCGTCAAAGCACCCTTCTGTTCTGGAAGTCTCAGCTGTTCGTAGCGTGAACAGAAGGTTTGGCCGCTTAGCTGTTGGTTTGGGCAGAATGTAGAAAGGTTTTTATAAAGGCTCCAACAGTCTTGTGATAAGTTGTGGTCTGCTATGACGGATGAGATCTGTTCCGTGTGTGGTCGGCCGGGCCATCCGCGGTGCGGCGAGGCCTCGCTGCCTTTGTCCGGATTCGTTCTCAAAAGTGTTAGTGACTGTTCGTGTTTGGTCTTCCTGAAGAAGGCCCTTTGGCTTGAGCACCGCAGCAAATGGAGGCAGGGCCACAGGGCTCGTCCAGTTCTAAACTCTAAACAGCCCAGCAGCACCAATCCGATGCCATCCTCCGGCTATCACAACATGCCAGGAGACGCGCCGAGGACAGGGTTTTGCTGTAAACAGCTGCTGCGCAGTCGTGCAATTCCCGAGGCTCAAGATAATCAGTTCTTGCGAGAGCAGGGTGGACGAGCACATGGTAGACCAGCATGATAGTTCGAATGATTTTGATAGGAGGCGTCAGGCCGTTGCTTGGCGCCAGCTGACGTGGTGCCGTCGCTCCCACTAGACGAAGGCAGCGCGGGAACCACGCTTGAAGAAGTAAGCACAAAGCACGAATCTCAGAGTAACTTTCCCAAAGCTGCTGCAGATAGATTTTGTAATGGGAATGCCTATATTGTCATGGACTCCTTGAAGCTTTGGGAAAACTGTTGTGACCATGAGGATCCGAAATTGTAGAGACTTGGAGGCTTCCGGGGGGCAGCCCCTCACATAAGATGCTTGAAGTATTAAGTTCTAGCGGCAGAATTTCAGGAGATGGTAAGGGGTTATTACGAGTGATCATGATTGTTTTTGGACGTTTTAGATTTCCAAGGAAAGAAAAGGCATCAGGAAAGACAAAGCACCGATTTGAGAAGGTTATCCAATTGGAATTCATGACTTCCTGAGTGTCATATGTGTTGTTGTTGTCATCATTGGTTGAACACAAAGATAAAAGACTAGCTGGAATTAGGGGTCCCCTTGCTTTCCTAACTAACTAGGATTTGAGTGCTTTGGTAAAAACTCACCTCGATATTGCTCCCTCAATCAACACTACCTGCAACCTCCAACGTAGCACAAATTTCCGCCCCACCATGGTTTCGATACGCTTTTCGACAAATCGAGCGCAAACTGTGAAACGAGCGTAAATCCGTGATGGCGGCCTTTATTTTACGAAACGTGCGATTCCTGAAAAAGACGGCGTGGCCGAAAATGTTGGCACTCTACGCCGCAGCGAACGAGCGCAAAATATGCGCAAAACGAGCGCAAATCCGCGCAAAAAAAACGCAAACGAGCGCAAACTCGAAAAACGTACTGCGCTGATGCCTGAAATGGAGCGCAGCAACATCGCCACGAGCGCATTTTGCCGAAACGAGCGCAAAAATTTCGTTCGTAATGGAAAACAGCATCTCGAGCAGAAAAAACACGTAGCACAAATTTGTGCTACATTGGAGGTTCCAGGTACTTTTTTTGACAGTACCAGCACACAACGAAGACCCAACAACACCTCGCATCGCACCGGCCTGTTTGTGCTTACACTGACATTCTCATCAACAAACTCAAAGTCGGCGTCTGGGCTTTCCAAGCTCGGCAAGTCCCCGCATTTTGACAGCCATAGCCACACTGCCCTCGCGTCAAATGACAAGTCTTGAATGAGTCTTGAACAGCCGTCCCTCGTAGTTCCACCATGCCCGCGAGATCCTAATGCAAGGCACGCAACCGCGCGTTTGCAGCGAGCTTCTGTAATGCAAGCAATTTTTTCAAAGGATCATGGCCGTGCAGGGTAATCCCGCATGCAAAATCTGGTCCATGCTCCAGCACGACTGCGGCACGGGAAGCTGTGCAGCCAGGCACATTTCATACACGGTGGTCATCTGGGAGAACTTGAGCATCTTCACAGATTATGCAGAACACATATTCCTGCGCCACAGGCAGGTTCCGAGACCTCACGGTTAATCAGGGCAAAACATGTGTGTACACATCAAAGCCCCACCGCCAGCGTCCGAGGAAAGTTGCGGGGGGGGGGGGTTCGCGAGGTTCGGGGGGTTCACGGAACCCTTGCGGGGTTTGTAGAACGCTTCGGGGGGCTTAGGAGAGCCGGTTCTCGGAAGCCTGCTTGGGGGTTCGGTGAACTCTCTGGGGTTTGGCTACCTTCAGCTCTTTTTTTGTGGGTTCGACAAGCTTCGGCCTACCCTAGGGGGCGTACTCACAGAGAGGTGTACGCTGTACACATATGTACACACACAATTCTCCTCCAATTAAAGCTGGCTACGGAGGGTCAAGGGCCGTACAAATCTCGCACCGCCGCTGAAGGGGAACATCTGTCTCCGGAGAACCCTGGATGCCCGTAGCCGTTTTGGCGACACCAGAGCAGTGGCACGAGGTGGGATTGCAGGGAGTAAATACGAGTCTGTTATCCCCAGCATCCCTTCGCATTGCAAGTAGAGAGATGTATCCATAAGTAGATTGAAAAAGATGATGTTACATACCGACGAAGTGTACGTGGGCAACAGGGGACCCATCCTCCTAAGAAGCTTGCCCGATACTGAACTTAATTAGTGTCATGCACCAAGCAGTGTCGTTCGGGTGGCAGGTCCAAAGCTGAAAACGCGATCGCAGGAATGGAGTGAGCTCAGCGAGGCCGGACACGGAATGGAGAATTAACTGCGTTCCTCGAGAACGCGCTCTCTAATTCTAGGATTTTGGAAAAGGAGTTTAAGTTGAAAAATGTCCCGAAAAGGTCTCAGTGTAAGTGTGGCTCGGCATATCCGAGAGATTGAAGGTGGACACCCCACGCATCAATATATTATGGGACAAGATTGTGCGGGTGTATTACAATTACATAGACCCGAAAGAAACCACGAGCTTGAGACTTCCCGACATCCATCGGTACAGCATCTTGATGTATCATGTGTTTCGACGGCGTTATGGAAGGGAAGCTACCGAATGCGCTCTGGATTGATGTGAGTACAAGAGAGGTCCCAAAGTCCATCCCAAGCGCGCATTGCAGGGGCTGTGGCAAATTGAGAGTGTCTGAATATTGGCCGGCATGGTCCTTGATGCCAGGCATGATTGCCGCCTCATCGTCCTTACATACCTGCAATTCCTCATGTAACTGAAGCTTGTAGAACCATTAGAGGCCATTAGCGTCTTGTTATGTAGTTTTCCAATCTTAATTTCTGCCTTGGTGCTAATCAATTTTGGGATCCCATTCCAGGCGCAGCAACTCTGCCAGGTTCTGTTTTTTTGCTTAGAAGCTGCTTCAAGTTGAGCCGTCATATCAAGTCAGGAACAAGAGCTGGCATTGATTCGACTTGTCCCGGTTTCGAAGGGTGTTCCACTGGTGTTCCATCATGTGCCTTCATGCGATACTTGCTCCAGCTTGACACATATCAGGAAGATGTTGATGGGTCAGAAGTGCCTGCGAATGACCTTGGCGATCAAACTTGACAGGAATTGGAGTAGTTTTCAACTAGC